TAAAATGTGAAATGCATCTAATACACAACTAAGAGGAAACGTTTTCTTCTGTGTCGTCCACACGGACGGGAGTCGCTTTATTAAGCACATAAAGCATATAATATGTATATTTTTTTTTTTTGTATATCTACATATGTGGACATATATATGTATACATGTAAAAACGCTTATTTCCCTATTTCGTCCTGTCACTGTTTTGGCCGCATGCTCACGCTCGCCGCACAACCATGCTGGATACAGACTACAATTTTCATGCGGATCTCTGTACATATTCAATTCTAATTTCCCTTTCCACCACTGTCTGTACTTTTTCCGTAGCTTTGATAATGTGACAAGTGCAGTGAGCAGAGTTATGACGTCTTAAAATTAGTTTTTCGGAACACACATAAGCTTTCTTCATAAAGTTTCTCCAACCAAGCCAACCATTGGAAAGGTGACAATTGCCTTTTAACATACAAAGTTTTAAGTAATGTATGTAGTTATGTTTTATGCGTTAGTTAGAAATAACTTTAGTGTTTTCCATTGTGGCGTCAAACTGCTAGGTGCTAATACTTATTGGTTTCATACGAATTGAAAAAGTGAGGAGTGTTTAAGAGATTGCAGTTTTTCAATATTCGTTTTATTGTGGCTACGCCCCACAGTGGTCTGGGAGCGGCAAAAGCGCACATCTTCGAGGTGATAAGAAAATAAAATTGATAATTTTTGATGAGAGGGATTATTAACTAATAGATATGTTTGAAGAGTATAGGTTTTGAAAATACTGATTTGAATTCGTTTTATAACCATGGCAAGAGTAGTCCACTAAAGAGCCTATTCTCACGGCAATAAATAATTTCGCACATTGGTGGAAAGCATGAGATAAGTTTTAGGTGTTTCATTGAGTTCTGCCGAATTTTTCAGGATGTGTTTTGTTGAAATAAGTGCAAATAAGTTTTGAAACAAGTGTTTCTCAGTAGTTTCTTATAGCGTTTTCATTTCTCGAAATAATGTTGCCTTTATTCCGCCCTGCGCCAGGGTTGTCAAGTTTTCGTGTTCTTTTCTCAGCATCTTCACATGCATATCTGATAATGTTGCCAATTAACAAGGTGGCTTTTTTTTAACGTAAAAATAGTCGTAACTACTTTGCACCACGGAGCTATTGGGATTACAACGATAAACCCTGGGTAAACTGTTGAAACAAGTTGCAGCTGCTAGAGTCTGCTATCTTCCACAGACTGGACGTTTCACAATGACAGATTCCCATATGAGCTGTCGCGAAAACTATTTTCCTGGAATTTTATATGTAGTACTTTTGTCTAGGAATGACAAATTGTGCAGATTGGTAAACTTCTACACCCGCTACACTAGGAGACAGATACATATGTCTGAAATTATTTGGTTTTAAGGAAAATACAATTTTTTTGTTTGGCTGGTGGGCGTGGCAGTAGGCCGATTTTGACCACTTTTCAGATTTAAAATCTCTCTGGCTAAGCTGCAAAACGAATTTCATTAAAATTGTGTAGCATTTACCATTTTCGTCCCTAGTGTAGTGGACGTAGCAGTTTGCCAATCTATGCGATTTTTCAGATTTCTTCTTTCCTTTTTGCCAAATTTTTTATGGGGCTCTTCCAGTGTACTCCTGTCTGATACGTAAATATCCAGACAGAATTAACACTGTCCTTCGGGCATGCTTAAATATGATAGACGTCGTCTGGGTCTAGGTGTGTAGCCGACTATCCAAACCCGTTCTCAATTGAGTTATACTACGTTCAAATTGACGAGCTAAACATGTTAAATGGGCTTAAACCAGTTAAATGAACAAAACATGTTCATTAACAAGTTAAATCGCATGCAATTGTTGTTGGAAAATTGAACCAGTTAAATCATTTAACTCGTTTGAAAACCAGTTCAGCGCAGAGTTGTATCAGAAAGCTTTCTGCTCCGGCCAATCAGAAAGACCCAAAAGCTTTCATTTGACACGCCAACGTTCTAAAAATTTATATTCTGAAAAATATTAAAAATTAAAAATTATCAAAAAATATCAAAATTGTATGCATGTCTGCCCGCCAAAAAAGAGGCAAAGGCGGTAAATAGTTATTTCCCATGAGGTCTCATCGTACGCAGAGATAAATAGTGCATAGGAACTAAACATTTTTGAAGTCTCTAAGTAATCCGTATGCGTTAATAGGTTTGTTCGTCGAAAATCCAGCAAGAATTATCCAACACTCAAAATATCAGAGAGTAAGAAAAAATTCTCTCAAATTCTCTCTCATGTTGAGAAACTTGCAAATTTCTGCACGAACGCAAATTTGCAGGAATTTGCAAGTTTCGCTGCCAGCTGGCGTCCACGGTTGCATTTCAAACATAAACAATTTTTATAGAATTTTTAAAATTCTTTCGGATGGCCAAAAACAGGATATACATGTATATTTCTTGTTGTTCTGACTTTCTTTAACATACATTTCAATTTCTTCATCGTACTAGCTGTCGGGTTTCTTAAATCGACTCTGGTTGCAATTGCATTCCGATTGCGAATACCATTTTTTTCAGCCGAATTAAGTTCAAATCATTGGAATTAACTAAATTAATTATATCAACAATTATTTACTTCCTTTTTTCATAAAAAAATCGCTCGTGTTTATAAATTTTTAAATTTAACGAACTAATTTATTCAAATTATTGTAGACAAAAATGCAACCATGCGCCACAACCACATGTTTTTCGTGTTTGCAAATTCTTGCTGGCAAAATTTTTTCCAGCAAGAATTTGCAACTTCTCTCCAAGAGAACTGTCACTTTGCTCTCACAATTTTTGAGTGTTGGATAATTTTTTGGTCTGCACGAACGCGATTTGGGCAAAAATCGTGATAATTCGTACAAATTCGTACAAATTTTTTGCTCGACGAACAAACCTAATATCATGAAGCAGACATTCGCACAAAACAAATTGAAACACAAAAACTTGATTTTGAATTTTTTCGAATTTTCAATGTGGACGATTGTGTTTTTCAAAAAGCTCTTTTTCATTTAACAAGTTAAATGGGGCCAATTTGAACGTAATATTAGAGTACAGTTTTTTTCGGAGTTCTCCTTCCATGATGTGGATAAAGAAGCACGCGCTTATAGTACAAAGTTGGCCCTTTCCATGTCGCGCTAGGGTGTGTCGTTATGAATATTTGAAGTCCGCAATTGCTATTAAATGCAAGCCTTATCGTCTATCCGAAGGTCGCAATAAATGTAATCTTAAATTTAGTAAAAATTAATTCCGTTTTCGTTTTTTTTTCAAACTCTTATTCCATTATAATTAGTTCCTTTAGTTTTCTGGTTGCGTATCGCTGAGAACGTCAAGTAAATGTTCATGTTTTTTTCCCACTTGCGGCAACCAATGTTCAGGTAATAAAGGCTAAATCTCTATTCTAAACCTTGCCAAACACTAGAGTCCCTTGACGATAGATCTTCCGAGTCGAAAACTTAACTGAAAATGAGTTTTCCACCAAAAGATTTACTCGTCTATGCTCTGCCTATGATGTCCGCAGTTAAGCAGCCGTAATAAATTTTTATGGTATGGGATTAATATTAATCTGCAAGCTGAGCTTACTCGCCAGCCTTCTATCCAGAAAATTCACAGTCAGCAGCTTCCACATCCTAGAATATAAGATTACCGAAACTCTTGGTGTGCGCACTTGCATTTTAGCAGTAGCTTTGTTTACCTAGTCCTTATCAGCTGGCTTATAAGTTCAGCTCTCACCTCAACGTAAACCGCTACCCTCTGGATAAAATGTATGTATGTACTATACACTTTATAGGCACATCTATAAGTTGCGGCGATTGCAGGTTTTATGCTGTTTTTTCAGTCGAAATAGATATTTAACAACAACTGTGTTGGTGGTTGCCAACATGCCGCCGTCCTTGCACAGGTCCAACATTTAGCCGAAGTTACCGATCCAGCTGCGATGTAAGTGTCGTGTGTTTACCAAACGTTTCAACTCACCGTTGGATACGGAGTGTGCTTTCCTTTTTACTTGCTGACGCCCACATGTGTAGCGCCTTGTTGAAAGGTGTTTCGTACATTGCGTGCGTGCCTTCCATTTGACGGCTTTGCTGACCTAGTGTGATGTTCCGACTTGCCTTGTGGTTTGCGTGCTACAGTGGCTTCGTTTAGTAGACTGTGATGAAGAGTGCGGTGGCTCAATTTACATACATACTCGGCAGCTGTTTTGAAACAGCAACACAGTGAAAAATGTCATATGTCCGATACTCTGTGCAAGTTCAACAATTGATTTGTATGAGCTGGTGGGGGGTGGAAGTGTAGTTTGGAAAAGTTACTGTTAGGATTGGATGGAGAAGTAAGAGAGCATAATTGCACTTCGGCGACTCTTATATGATTATCGGAGCTTCGCTGGAGTTAAGTAATTCTTCCTGAGACATACGAACCATTTAAGATATTTCTTCATGTAGGGGAATCGTGTGGATGTAATCTCCATACTACTCTAAGCGTGTTCCTTGCTCTGCCTCACCTCTTCAATCTGCTTCCAAAGTCTTGCCCCTTCTCCGAGGTAAATTGTTCCATGGAAATGAGACCTTACTTGTTATATTTGTGATATTTGGCACATATTTTGATATGTATACATATTTGGTGATGGAACACACAATGGGCCGTATGAATAAAAATAAGCAATTGCTTTTTCTTAAAATTTCAGATCTTTTACTCAATTTATTCAAACACCCAATAACCTTGCACATAGTAAGTACACCTTAAAGCATACACAGACGGCAGCGTTGATCCGGATCAACTCGGGAATTAACTCCAGTTGATCCGAATTAAGTCGAAGTTAATACGGATCAACGCTGCCTTCTGTCAAAGCTTTTAGAGGGCAAATATTATCCCCTTTTTCGGGGTAGGAAATATTAGAATATTGTTATTTGTATTTCAAAAATTTTCTTCATGCTAAACATACAAACGTATGTATGTATAAAGAATTTTCTATTATTTAATTTATTTTATAATTCTTTTATTTGCAGCTAAATGGAGGGATCGGATGGATCACCTCCTCCGTCATTGTGCATTGTACGAGCAACTGAATTTTTTCCAAAATCTCAAATGGAGAAGGAAGATACACAGTTGACGGTGCCCTTTCAAGAACGTTAGTATCTATGTGAATTTTCGATTGTTTATTTAGTTTATTTTTGATAACTCAAAAAAATTACGTTCTTAATGCAGTTGCCGGTGAATCCGTCAAATATCTGGGACGTACAGATGATGGTGTTTTGGCGCTCTCTACATACCGCATATTTATGCTTAAAAACTCTACCAACTCAGAGACATCTGTGCCACTGGGCCTGATCGAGAGCGTACATATCCGTGACCTGTTTCAATTAATCATAAATTGTAAAGACGCTAGCACTGTGAAATGTTCCTTTGAAACAGCTGAACAATGCTCCGATTGGCAGCGCCGTATTAATCAATCAGTGGGTGTCCCGCCAACGTTGGAAGCATTATTCGCGTTTCCCTTCCACTCGTATATGTGTGATGCAATTAGCGTACAGAATGGCGATGGTATTGGCAGATTAGCCGATGGTAGCATCATTGACAATTCTACCGAGTACCTGGAACGCTTACAACGTGCCTCCCGCGATGATGACGATTTTATGCGTGAAGTCGAACGACTCGGTTTCGATCTAAATGGAGCGTGGCGTATTTCCAAAGCCAATGAGGAGTTCAAATTGTGTCCTTCATATCCGCAAAAGTTGCTGGTGCCGGGTTGCATATCGGACGAAATGCTCAATGAAGTGGCGAACTTTCGAGGTTCGCGGCGTCTGCCAGCGGTTGTATGGCGTCATCGAAAATCGGGCGCAGTGATTGCGCGCTGCAGTCAGCCGGAGGTGGGTTGGTTCGGTTGGCGCAGTACGAAAGACGAGCAACTGTTCAAAGCATTGGCTGATGCTTGTGCCTTTGACAGAGGCGAGCAGATGCGTCGTTTCATGCAGTGCACAAATCCTGGGCTCACCATGACTTCCGGTGAGAATTCACCATCAAGCACTGAAAACAGTCACGAGGAAGTGGCGCTAGATGAAGTGAGAGTACGTAAAGTACTTATAAATTGTAGCGTATTACATTCGAACCTATTGATTTTTTTTTCTTTTCCTATTAGAAAATCCTTATTATAGATGCGCGTAGCTACGCATCTGCTGTAACGAATCGTGCACGCGGCGGAGGCTGCGAATGCATTGAATATTATCCGTGCGCGGAAATAGAATTTATGAATCTAGGTAACATTCATGTCATACGAAAGAGTTTTCATGCGCTCAGACAACTGTGTGCTTCACCACCAGATTGTCCCAAGTAAGCTTGATAATAGTTTTCTTATGACTCTACTTACATTTGTATGTAAACTTGTATTTCTTTTAGTTGGTTAGGTTTACTCGAAAAGACAATGTGGCTGCAACACCTTTCTGGACTTTTAGCTGCGGCCGTAACCGTCTGCCATGCCATCGAGAAGAAAGGGCGCCCGGTATTGGTACACTGTTCGGACGGCTGGGATCGAACGCCACAAATAGTGGCCACAGCACAACTGTGCTTGGATCCTTTCTATCGCACTGTTGAGGTAACCATTCAGGATGCCAGATTTTGGTACTTTGCATACAAATAATATATTTTTTTGATGTATAATTTTTATTAGGGTTTCCGCATTCTCGTTGAACGTGAATGGCTGAGTTTTGGGCATAAATTTTCCGATCGCTGTGGTCATGGGCCCGGTTCTGAAGACGTAAATGAAAGATGCCCAGTTTTCTTGCAATGGTTGGATATAGTGCATCAAATACACAGACAATTCCCATGTAGTTTTGAATTCAACATGGCGTACTTGGTAATTAGTGAGATTAGCAAATGTCTAGCAGCATGCACTGAAATTTATTATCTTTTATTTTAGATAAAATTAGCACAACACTCCCATTCATGTTTATTCGGTACCTTCCTTTGCAACACATACAGGGAGCGTTTGGAAAAGTCAGTATTTGAGCGCACATTCTCAGTCTGGCCTTTCCTCTCAGGACCAATGTATAAAAATCCGCTTTACATAGCAAATAGAGATGCGGTAAACTTTATATTTCATTACTGGAAAGCATTATTCTTAATTTGCTTTGTTTTATTTGTATACATTATTTTATTAACTAGGTAATTTGGCCTGCGCATCATGTGCGAGATTTATACTTATGGACTGATGTTTATTTGGGTAGTCTGGGCAATCAAAATAGCATTGATTTTCCCAACAACAGTAATGAAACTGTGCAAGGTTCGATAAGTGAGTTTAACATTACTTTAGCTTTTCTTAGATTTGAAGGAAAACCTTAATTAATTCATTTCAAGCTCCCATGACTAAGACACGTTCGTATGGTGATTTAACATCAGCAAACATTATGCAGAGTGGAATATCACGTCGTTCCAGCGATCCAAACGTGACTTTAGAACCGAAGTAAGCAAATCTATAAGTTAAATCTGCTAATATGTTAATTTGGTTTCATTCAGAAATCTATTTCTTACGTCAGTTAGTGATAAAATTGTTTTTTGCGCGTATTCTAAAAGTGCCCACACACTTGATAAGTACCAGCAATTTTTCTATGAAATTCTACTTTTTCGTGCGAACACCCAAAAAGAATCTCCCTTTCTCAAGCCTTACAGCGAATTGCAAGTGTTAGGGCACTTTTAAACGCGAGTAGTTTAAAATTCGAAATCTTACTCGAAATTTTTGACAGTTACGTTTCTAGATTTAAAAAGTGGGTGGGGAATAACCTCAGATTTTCGATTAGTATGAAAATAAAAAAATTATTGGTACTATTTGGTAATTTATAATTTCAGTTTAACTATGACATCCAATTTTGAAAATAATTGCATTTCGAATATGAAAACCGAGCGGGGAGATTCACCAGATGATGTAAATGATACCATACAGAAAATCCAAAATCTCACCATGCAGTTAAATAACCAAGACGAAGAAAATTTTACTGGTATTGGAAAAACTGCAGATGAACTGCAGAAAGATGCACAAAAAGGACTAAACGAGGATATAATGGATGATGATCAGGTTACTGAAAACATGTCACTGCAGGACAAATTCAACAACATGTCATCAGTGATTTTCGACAGTTATCCGTTTGAAGCCCTTAGGTCGAATATCGCAAATTTAAACGAAACCGCTATTACGCATAAAACAACCGATGTTTACAATATTACACATAATGGCGTTGAGTTGGGTAGTTTGAGTCAGTATGATGAAGCTAAGAATACTCTAGCTGCCACTGAGATCAGAGATACGGGTGGCGGTAAGAACTTGAGTACGTATAAGGCCTGCATGAACGAGGACCTGATGCTGAGTGTAGACCTAAGTGGTGAGTATTCGTTTTTGAGACAGCGAAATAAATTCATCCATTTGTATGTACATATATTTGTATTGTTTATATTTTTTTTTAGATGCTAGTTCCAAAGTGGATGACGCTGCAGCGTGTGAAGCAGAAGAACGACGAAGCATTTGGCATGGTTCGATCAACACTAGCACAGACACTTTAGTGCCGATCGAGAGAAGACAGAGTAATGACTGTCGAGAAATTAAAACACCTGCTGCGAAGGAAATCGATGTTGCCGACGGCTCTGTATCACCTGAAAGACTATCTACGACAGCTGACAAAATGGAACTTGGTTTAACTTCACCATATGTTCTATTAAAACAAGAGGTATTCAAATGAAGTTTATCATTAAACTAAAATTAATAGATTTTTGCGTTTCTGTATCTAGCGCAAAAATTCTTTAACCTGCAATACAGCTGTAAGTAGCATTGGCGTCAATGGCTTGAATAACAGTATTTTGCCTAAAGTTCATGGCAGTAGTAGTACCTCGAATCGTTCAAATATCTTGTCAAATTCATCTAGTAATGCCTCCATCTCATCAACATCGTCTTCACTCAATAATTTAAAAAACATTAGAAACAGCAATAATAGCCTCGCAACAACTATGACAGATCAGAATTGTGACAATAAAAGTGAGAATGAAGCTGATATAGATCCTGACGAATTAGACGCCGATGATGCTGCTGATCCGTTTCCAAATACTCATGCGCATTCCAACGATTCCATGAATGAAAGTATCATTATTTTGCCAGAGCATCGAAAGTTGGAAATATCTGTGAGTGGCAATTGTGAGACAATCTCAAATAACGGTGTGTCATTGCCAACGACACCGACAGACTTTGCTGCAAGCGCAACTGTTGGAGTTAGAAGCGGATTTGGTGGAGTTGCAGCTGTAGGTGGTGCAGCCACTCATCGGCGGCGACGCACATCTTCGTCGAACTCTAATCCAAATCGTTTTTTTGATGGCATTAATATAAAGTTAGCTAATGGAAGGTATGCGCAAAAATCCATCCAAATTTCTGTTACTATCATAAAAAGTGCACATTTTGATATGCATTCAATGTTTTCCCCAATCAGCACAACACGATTTTCTTTGCCTGGTGCACGTTCGTTGCCGATGACACCGCCCGCACAACAGGAACGACCACAAATCACAATATCCTGTCCAGATGGATTGGCGCATGCCTTGAGCGAACAAAATCTCCGACTGCAACAAATTGTGCTCGAACACAAGGTTAGTCAAATCGTAGAATCTAAATTTTTTGTTTCATACAAATATTTTATTTTACGTTTAGGTGCGCGAGGATGTACTGTTGCGTGAAATACATGACATGCGCATGGCGTTACTTAAAAAAATATGCCCAAATTGCAACGTTGCACAAACAAATGCAAATGATGAACAGGTAAGCAACTTGAAGATGAAATTTAGTTATTTAATTATTTAAATTGTAGGATTATTTGATAGGGGTGGTATACAAAGATGCTGCATCATTATAAAAAGCCTCTTAGTACAAGTAGTTACATTGTGAAGCTGAACGTACGCGGTATATTTTTGAAAGAGGGCATCTTGGCGATCCTTTTTATTGATCCTGCACATCTGCGTCTTATTTTGTTTGTACTTAAATGATAAATTTTAAGAGTTGGAGCCTTGATGATTAAGGGAAGGCTTTTTTAAAGACTAAATACTTTCTTTCACTCTTCCCTTTCTTTTTAAATATTTTCTCTTTTTCAAAGAGTTCGAATACTGACTATGGCTTTGCTCAGCGAAAAGGATCAGCTGATGCCCTCTTGCAAAAATATACCGTGGTTATATTGTTACAACAAAAAAATTAAATGCTGAAGTATAAATTTATTAAAAAATAAATGTACTTTGATCTAGGTACTATATATTTGGCCAATATCATAGGAATTTTTTAAATTAGCGATGGTCAAATTTGAAAAAAATTAAGAAAAATATATATATTTTTTTTAATTTTATGGAAATTCCCAATAATCTAAGTCTAACAATATATTGCTATACATCATTTTAAAGGTCAATAAACCCTTTTTCAAAACACTCTACCTACAATCTACATTAAGTTTTGTTTCGGGTGTATTTCGTGATTTCGTAGCACCGTGTTATGAGTGAAAGCGATCTCTTTTAATGCAGAAGAAGTAAACTGTTGGTTTTTTAAACAAAAACAAAATTTTTAATAAATTTAAAAAAATACTTAAAAAATCAAAAGGTATTAAGTTGATAATTTGAAAATCATTTAACCTTGCATCATATGAATTAAACTTACAGATATGTATAAAATGGGCATATATTATGGAAACGGTGAAAAAATTAAAAGAAATATACTTATAATTCAAAAGAAAACTATCGCACACTATCGATGGTGCCGACTATCGATAGTTTCTGATCTCTAGTCCGTAGTTATACCATTTTCCCACGCTACCCGGAATTACTTGGTTCGCTCCACCAATTACGATCGCGAATGACAGTTGACAGTTTGACAGTTCTCTGTCTCTGTGTTTTGTTTTTATTTTTCTTCGCTGCAAAATTGATGCAAAATGTAGGTTCTTCCTAAAAATGTATAGGGGTATTCTCTGAGTCTTGCAAAGCCCTTGCACGGTGCACGGATTGCACGGTTTGCAAAGCTGTCCCATACGAAAACCGGTTTTTACCGTGCAATCCGTGCAATCTGTGCACCATGCAAGGGCTTTGCAAGACTCAGAGAATACCCCTTATAAGTTTCCGTATTAAATTAGGGAATACACATCTAAGAACTTTACTTTTCGTACTCAGAAAAAATGCAAGTTTTAATTTGTGAGCTAGTTTCGATAAATTTCCGATAAAAATTAGAGACAGCACCGATTTGTTCGTAATTTGCATGGTAATTTGATCTGAATTACCAACAAATGAGGTAATTCGCTCTCAAAATTTTGTATAGCGAATTACGAAATTCGATGGGTAATTGGAGTGCGAATTACAAATGAGAGACGAACTACGTGATTGGGGTGCCGTGGGAAAGCCGTAGTAAGAGGGGTTGTATGGGAAAAAAACCAAATATGTATTGTTCGTTCCCAAGAATGTGTCCGCTTATAGGAGATGTTCGCTTATTAGAGCGTCCGTCTATGAGAGCTTTCACTGTACATACATATTACCAGTTATCGCTATAAAATCTAGCAGTTAATTGCTGTGGGTAGTAGTCATAATTTTCTAAATTCTATGCTTACTTTACCATATCGTAAATATGTATGTACTTATGTATGTGCGCCTACGCCGACTGAAAGTGGCTCAGAAAAAGTAACAGCATAGTACTTATTGCGTTAATACTTTTTACGCTCGCTAAACTTGCGTATTTGTAAACGCATTAGTACATACATATGTATTAATGTATGTATTCCTATAATCACACCTATTTAAGGAAGACGAGATCTTACTTAGCAGATGTAGAATAGTTGAACGCACCACAAGGTGCCAATGCTTGAAGGCGAGATCATGTAATAAGTGCAAACTATTGCAACAGCAGCAAATGAGAGAGCAACAACAACAACGGTCACAATCATACCAATCATATAAACGACGTCATCGTTTACAACGTTACCACACGGCGATCGGTCATCATGGGCGAGTACTCTCTCGCTACCGTTATTGCCATTGCATTTGCCAGAACAGTTATAATCAGCGCAGGCGCTACCATAGTTTCAGTTGTAGTCTTTGCTACAACAACGAAGATGATATGCTGACTGACGACGATAATGATATCACAATGGCGATGCTAATGCGAAATTACAGTTGCGATTGTCGCGATAGCAATAGCTCCTTGTCAGCGGTTAGTTTGTGTCCTCTTTTTGATTTTCTTAAAGTGCATTGCTTGTTGTGCGATGTGTAACGGTTAAAAGCTTGTGGCAATAAAAAATGCATAGTACATATAGACATACAGTTGTCCACAAAATAATAGGAGTGCGATATTTTGACCAGTTTTTGCCATTTGTCTTTTGTTTATTTAATGTTTATTATTTTTTTATAAAAGTCTAGCTGGTTATGCAACAAACAACATATTTATTTGTTTTTTTTCTGGCAGTGTCCTCCATATAAATGGAAATTGTAGAACATACTTTGTATGGAAAAAAACGTGAAACACCTTCAACCAAAAAATTCTCAAAAATCAACGGAATTTTTTTGCAACTTGAAACTTGCATTTTATTAGAATAAAATGGGTTACAAAACTGCATACCGCAATTTTTGTAGAGATTCTGACTAAAAAATTTGGAACTTTGGGCGAAAATTTGCGAAATTTTTATAATTTTTGTACAAAGTTTGAAATCTGAATTTATATGAGATTTGTTGTATAGACTTTTATAAAAATAATAAAAAGTAAATAAACGAAAGACAAAACAGCCAAAACTGGTCAAAATATCGCACTCCTATTATTTTGTGGACAACTGTATGTTCACTTCTTGTGCAGTAAAAAGTTAAACTTTTCGATTTACTGTTTTTGCGAAACAAGTTTTCATTGATGATACGAATGCTGCTTGATTGTTTAGCGCGCCTTGCACATTTTCACTTGTTGATTCCTTCTACCACTCCTTTATCCAATCAAACTAATCTTGCTGTTGCCGTTGCTGTTGGCCTTGCAAAATATCTTACAAAAGCGCATTACAGAAATGCGAACTGCCGTGCATTTTTATGGCGCTTACATTCCCAAAAAAAACTATGCTAACCGCATGTGCGTTTGTACTGCAAAATTGACTTACTTGAAATTTTGAAGCAAATTTTTGTTGTGCTAATTGTTGACTTTATCAGTCTATGCTTCACATCTATCGCAAACTAATAACCTGACCATACAACTTTTTCACTTGCAGAATTCAGCTATAGATAACATTGAGAATGCTTCGATATGCTCATGGGAGGCTGTTGAAGATCGCAGCGCACCCTCATCTAGTGCTAGTTCCTCCATACAACAACCAAACACCGCAAGTGTCCTCTGGGTACCCGATCATGCAGTGAAACGCTGCACCAGCTGTCAAGTCGAATTCTGGATAGGCCGTCGAAGACATCATTGCCGGTGCGCAACTCAAAATGCTTGAAATTAAATATTATAAATTTGTAATTTGTTCATAATTGTTTTTTTTTTCTAAATGTTAACTATTTTTTAAGGATTTTGGTTGGAATTTTTATATGTTTTCTTGTTTGTCTCTTTATGTGTAATCGTTCATACATACATACATATCTACTTATACCAGTGTAGTAGTTTTAATCCTACCTCATTCGTTTTCGAATTTCTAAACTATTAGTTTCTACATTATGCATTTGTGAATAACAAACCTTTTTTATTGGATATTATAAATCATTGTTTACTTTTATTGCTGGCTCGTATTATATGAAATATGGATTCAAAAAATTATCATTAAAAACTGAAAGTGTTCCAAGTCATACGTACAGGATGCGTTGGGTATTTGAGGGCACTCACATATACATATATATTTGTGCAACTCGATCCTGAAATAGATCAACGCCTTAAAGTGGCCCGATCCTTTGTTTACAAAACTCGCTGAGAACTGGAAGAATTTTGTTTCTTTCCCAAAGGACTTCGCGTAAATGCAGTTGTGAAACCCTGGATAGATAGAGTACGCGATGAGAAGCCATTGGTATTCCAACAGAACTCTGTTCCTTCACACAAGGACATGAAGACGCAAGTTTAGAAATCTGAGAATTTTCATGACGCCACCCAACTCATCGGATATTAATCGTTTGGATGGCTTGAACGGGGGACCAATAAACATCACCATAATACCCCTGAGGTTTTGAGAGCAGAGACTATAAGATTAATGGCGCATATGGACGAGGAACTTTTGATCCAAACATGCAAACGATTCCGCCTGCGTATTGAAGATGTTATTGCTGTGATTTTATTTGTCCTCAAATACCTAACGCATTCTGAATAATAACTCTTGTACATAAAAGTCTTACTTTTGCTGATAAAGTTTAACGATTAACAAATGCGATTATACGCAGTTAACAGATCATTTAAGCACATTAGATATGAAATTACTTAGGTCGACAATATCGTTTTCAATATTACATAAGTGAATACGAAAACATTTAAGTAAAATTGCATTATTTTAATCTTAAAAGACGTAATACAATACATTTTTCAAATCCATATTCAAGCCGACTATGGATATGCAACGCTGCTAATAACTTATTCGCACTATTTTAATTTTCCTAAATGTATTACTCTGTATTTGTTATACTGCGTATTCTGTGCCACATTTAAATTATTCTGTTTTTATCTCTTCATTTAGTTCGTGTGGGCAGATATTTTGCGCCGACTGTTCAGAGTTTTGGGCCCCGCTACCTGATGCAAAGCTTTTTAATCCCGTGAGATTGTGCGGACCCTGTTATCATGCCGTAACAACAAGGATCCAGGTAAACGCTCTAAACTCTGACTAAAAGTAAACTATTTACAGCGCCCGTGAACGAATATACGTATAGAGGGCCGAAAAAGCTAATAGAGACGAAACAGTACTATCACTTGCACCTTCTAACATTTTTCGATAGTGTTTCAAAGCGTAGTTGACTAACTCTTTTCCTCTAGAAACTATACTAGAATTTATAGTTTTATGAAACAAGTAAAATTATAAGAAAAAACTGGCGAAGATAAATTTATTTGCAAAAGTTACGAGAAAAACTATTGTTGTTGAGTGCTGCCGGGGTAACAGGCGTGGGAACGCCCAGAAAAAGTATCGCAACTTCCAGTTGAAATAATAAAGCAAAAACGCTCTTTTGTCAAAGAAAAATTCTTACCATCCAAACCGGATAACCAACTAAAAAAAAAGCATTGTATCTGCTGATCCGTTCATGGTGCTGCTTCTAAAGTTTTTTCACAGGTCGAAGTTTCTTTTTAGAGGGAAAATTGCTTTTTAAATAACATTTTACAATATGCAATACTTCATGGTTATCTTATTAGAGGAGAGTTTCTCGCCTGGATTATGGATTAGCCTTACATATATAGGTGGTTCACAAGTTGTCGTAAGTGTCGTATGTCGTAAATTTTTTAACGGCCAAATAAATAGTTTTAGCCGTTTAAAGCTTACGACATACAACATTACCACAGTATACAACACCTTGTGAACTCCCTAATAGAAGGAGCCCAAACCGGTCATAAATACGGGGTTTCCAAATACCTATCTCGACTCCTGTGCCATTTTTTGTGGAGTTATTCCTATTGATGTAAGTATATATTATATATATAAACTAAATTAGACCATAGGTGCAGGTTTTCGGAATATATCCATCCAACGCCACCTACAGGCAAACATTTTTGTGGTTATTTCCTAACATGTGAGTAATATACATTCCAAATATGAACCAAATGGCACATTAAAAACAGCGGTTTCCAAATGTCTCGATTGCTGGGCCACTTAGCGGATTAATTTATCTTTCATATTGTTTTGTCATCGGGTTCTGAACTAAGTTTGAAGTCTAGCTCATTGGAAAGTTGGTTAAAAATACTAGGCGGAGCCTTTCTATCATGCGCCTCATTATTTTTAGAGAGAACTACAGTTTTACACCACTTCTGAACGGATGATGGCTTTTTGTTAACAACTTTTTCATGTACTTCTATGACTTTTCGTTGGCAGCAAAAGGACAATTACTATTATGCCCCGTTTCAGCTAATGATGCCAAAATCATAAATGATGTGTCTAAATGGTAAATACAATTGGCAAAATAAGACATGGAATATATTACAGATCAATTTATATATATTAAAGTAATAGTTGGTTTAGGGTTGATAAAAATGCAAATAGGTATTATCGTGGGTAGATCGTCTAGAGATGAAAGCCATTTACATAATGAGAAGTAACAATGACTATTAAAAAACAATGTTTTTCACTTATTTGTACAATTATGTTATAAATAAGTGAAAGAAATATCAGAATTTTGCTAATGAGAATTGGCGGGTTAATTTCTGAGTTTGATACGTCATCCATAACTTTTTAAAATGCTAACAATTGAGTCTTTAAAACAATTTTCCTGCATTTATCTTCAATGCATGACCATTGTACTTTTCATTTCACTGGCTTTTGAATAACTGAAATAACTAAGACAGTCGTCATCCCAGTCCAGCCGTGGCCTGGCTCACTTCACTTTAGCGACGGAGTAAAGTTCAGCTATAGCAGCCAACAAGGATAGCTATATGTATTGGTAACGCTATGTGAATTTTCATAAAATTTACCGCAAATTGGATTAATTGATCATCATTAACATTTAAGCTTTGTCATTGATCTAAAACTAGAAACTGACTTTTAAGCATACCTTTCGAAATATTAAAAAAAAAAGTAAATATTATATTTTATTATTTTCAGCTGCAGAGTCGCTCATCGGTCATAACCAATAATATGCCAAATTATACAACCATAACTACCAGCTCCTCTGCAAATAGCACGACAGCAAGCACTGTTTTAACGGCTAGCGGAGCTACAAAAAACTTGCCTAATACGGCGACGCCAGCAGTTTCAAACACATCGCATGCAAACGCCACCACAGTCACAACAACAAGTACATCCAGTACGATGCATATGACGGCTCCATTACCTTTAACAGCGGCTGCAGTGCAGCAACCAAAACAGCAGCAGCAGCAACAAAGACAAACGGCAGCAGTGGCTGCTAGTGCTAGCGTGGCTGCCGCAGCCGCAGCTACAAGCACACAAATTGAGAGTAGCAGTATGTCACACATGTTGATGGCGGCAAATAAAAACATTGCCGCTAGTGTTGCAAATTAATATTTATTTATGCAGTTGTCTTTGTTGGCCGAGCAATGGGCGATGCAAGGAAATCATTTTATTTTATTTCATAGCTGAAATTTAAATTTTAATGAACATTCTTATCTGGGGCGCCTCCAACGTGCTGTTAATTACAAGTGTAACAGTTTAAAAGTGGAGGTGAGCGAACGCGAGAGAGAGACTGTGCTGCCAGACTGTTGGCAACTTTGTTGCTGCCGTGCCTAGACAAGTACGGATTTTATTGCTAAACGCGTGCTTGCAATTTGAATATCTTGTAATTGTTTTTTTTTTTTTGTTCTATTTATTTAATTATTAGGTGTTTCGATTCGCCCACACTTAGACAGTGGCAAACCTAGAGAATAACTGGCATAAACCATTTATTATAGTAAAACGTGTCTAATATCTGCATAGAGATCAATACAGAGAATACCAAATTGACCACTTTAATGAGGTAAACCCAGTTAGTTTCTCTTGTGTTGAATTCAGCTGGATGTTGTTGTTGTAACAGCATACAAAGTTCCCAAAAAATTTTTGTGGAATGATGCTAAAGTTACAGTCCTTGGCCAGATATGAATCTGGGTCGTTGCGGTTACGTAGAACCAACTGTCGTGGGAAGAAATTCAGATATGATGGATAGATGGATAACTTCGGTCAGTGTTATGCAGACAAATTTTTGTTTGGTGGATCCACTGAGTTTGACACAGGGTTGCACGTTGATTGTGCTTTTATGCCTATTGCCAACACGAAATAAAATTTGCAGATGTCCTTTTGATGCAAAAATTAATAATGTGGTTGTTCACGCTTGCCTGGTTATTAGGATATCTGGATATGCGGTATATTGTTGTGTTAGTAAGAGATTTTTCTATGTGTGTGTTTCGGACCGAAGTCATACCGCATTTTCCCGGTCTTAAATTGCTGAGGTAAAATACTACTCCCTTCCTCTCGCCTATGAAAAACCGGTTGAAGACGGTCTGAAAAGACCTAAAAGTGTCGAGCCTCATTAACTATGCCCTGGTATGTATAACTACAATTACCAACAATTTTTTTGTATGGTAACAATAATTTTACATCGAATTGGCCAGCCAAATTTAGTTTGTGCTGTGAGAGTCGCCAAAGCCTTTCTCCAAGTTTGCATACAGTTTGCTAAAAAAAATATCTGCATAAAGCAGGGATCACATGATTTGTAACTGGAAAATGTACAAATATACAAATCGTGTGATCCCTGCTTAACACCGACCTTTATTGTTACTTTCACACGCACATTTTTTTGTCAAGAGAGCAGAGCTCAAATATAGTGATAATATAGTGGCGAATCGAAGACGGCTATTTTCTCTGCTGACTGTGAAGAAATTATTGATGCGCTACAATTTTTTTTTTTATCAGTTGTATATATATTCGTTTCTTCTGCATTCTGGTATTTTGAAGACAAAATTGAATTTAAAAACAATGCACGTAATTGTAAAGTTTTGAATATTTATTAAAAAAAAAAATAGAAACTGTATACCTTTGCAATGATTTTCTTTGAAAAGTTTAGTTAGTAAAAAAATACTTGTGTGTATGTTTGTACTTGGCAGAATTCTTTACTAAAAATGCAAAATTAATAAAAATTCGACACTTTGCTTACTATATATTTATCGACATACATATGTATCTACATATAAGCCTCAACACAAAATCAAATACACGTGAGAAAACATAACAAATAATGTTGCCAGAATCAAAAACTTTTATTTGGTTTTACTTATTTCGCGCGAACTAAAAAATCGTTGGAAAAACTTGAAGGAGTTCGATGTCCATTCGCAGAAGTTGTTGTTAGTTTTTCCTTTGGCACAACCAAACCTATCATTGCAAAACCGTATACATAAATGCATACAAACAATACCTATGTATGTACATACATATATAAATATATACAAGTACGTATGTAAGTAAGTTTGAGATGGTAATAATAAAAGCAAAAAAATGACTACAAAAAAAAATAAAAATAAAAATCGTAAACCAAAAATGAAATACATCACCTTGTCGAATAAATTCATTGTGTATTTATTAAATGAAAAAAATGCGACTAGAAGCTGCGCGTTTTTACTCACTAATAAATTTAATTATAAAGCATGTGTATGTAATTTACAATGTTTGATTATTTGTAAGTGCAGATTATAATCGTTATGTTTAAACTTTGATCCCTTGAACCACATATTGAAAACATTGAAACGTATGTAACTAAATATGTACGATTAGGAGTTTTAATTAAGAAATAAATTTATAATTATTGCTTATAACAAAATAAAACTGGATGCAAATGTAATAAAAATCGTATTTGATATTGCAGGTTACATAATTAAAATGGGTCCAAGGAGATGTGTCAAGCGTGCGAAGTGAAGCTTTTAAATGCGTTTTTTTTCTAAATTAGTTAGTGTTTAACCCAGGATGTATTTTAGCGCTAATTTTAACGTTAACCAAAAAATACACTCGTTTCAGAGCCTGGGATCAGCCCAGTTCCAGGCTAACATCAAAAACAAAAGAATGGCGGCAAAACCATATAAATGACAGTTTCAAACTTTATACAAAATTTAAGAAAATTCAAAAAATTTTCGTCAAAATTTCATCTTTTTAATTTGAATCTCAAAAACATTTTGGGGTATGCAGTTTAATAGCCCATACAATTTTAGTCCAATGAATTGCAAGTTTCAAACAGTTTGCAGTTTTTTCCATGATAAAAACATTACAAGGTAAATCCATTGGAAGGCAGTCTTCCAGCAATATAATTTTAAAATTCAAACTAACACACACATTCTCATTTTCAATCCCGAACAACAACAATTGTGAATAATTTAATTTTTTTTTTTAATTTTATATGGTTTTAAAATGCTTGCGAACGTCAGAAAAAAACTCATGGCCGACGAATTGAGAGTATGATTTTAGCCTGTAATGTTTTTATGACGCTTTTGTTCCCTATATCGTCACTAGACACGAATAAAGGCGCGAGCTCAAAAGTTGACGGCGAAAAACGGCCTTTATTCGTGTGTAGTGACGATATGTATGTATATGCGTTAGACCGTTAGCAACAAATTTTCATAAAATCAGTGCCAGTTTTTGAAAATTGCACTTGTTATTTAAAAAGTTTGAATTTCAATGAAAATTTGTTGAATTTTCATAAATTTCGGATAACGTTTGAAACTGTGGTTTATATGTATGTTACTAGTCAAAGCTTGGACAAAAAAATATTATTGAAAATGTGTATACGGGGGTTTTTTGGGTCAGAGAATCCATTTTTCGCATTAATTTTTAATTTTGATCGCAGAAAAATAAAAAAAAATAAAAAAAATAAAAAATAAAAAAATAAAGCAAAATAAAGAAATAAATATTTTTCCATTATTTTAAATTATTAGAAAGTCGAAGATGTGACTATTTGAGCAATTCGTCAATTTCCCCCAAAAAAAGTGAAAAATCCAAAAAATTGTTCAAAAACGCACTCTGGTGGCGATCAAAATTAAAAATTAATGCGAAAAATGGATTCTCTGACCCAAAAAACCCCCGTATACACATTTTCAATAATATTTTTTTGTCTTTGAAATGCATCTAAGAGGTCGTTTATTTGGTATTTTTGAAAATATCTACCAAAAAATTTTGGCAGGCTCGAAAATGATTTTAGAGGTATGGTTCCTTGGGCGAAAATGTTTGTTATGGTCCATAGTACCAGAATCGCAAGGATATGAATCAACTTTTTTAATTGACCCACCCTAATATATATATATAACCATCATTTATTTCCATATGTGTTCAAATATTAGTTTAGTAATTCATTAATCAGCTTAACATTCAAGTACCCCTATAGGTTGTGTAACCAAACGGATTTAACAGTAACGGAATATGATAATGTTGATTCCGTTCACATTGTACGACAATCTCAATAAAAGGATAAAAACTTTTAACTCCACGTTCTGCGTTATATGATGCCACATCGAAATGCAACTTGTAGATGCCCGCTTTGTATTGCGAAGCACTCACTAATTGATTTACACGCCCATCTTGATTCGTTGTTTCAACATTCAGTTTCTGCCAATCATCGCCACCTTCTAGGCGATAAATTGTAATATTAACATTTGGTGCAGCCTGACCCACTGTGGTGTCCAGTATATGTGCAGATATGGTACGTACATCAGCACTCACATTAGTTTCGACAGCCGGTTCAAAACCCTAAATGAAAAGGGGAGTTGGTGGAAATTGAGCTTAAATTAAAATTAATCCGAAATAATCACCTCTTTTGTTTCGACACGTAGGCGAACACGATCCCAACTGGAGCTCATCATGCTATGAAATCTAACTGAAAAAACTGTGAGTAACAGTAATAACGCTGCACTTATCATCATTTGTTAGCCGATGTTCCTACTTGTTGTTTATCTTCTTTAAAAGATTAGAGAGATTATTTGGATAGCTTATCTTGAAATGCTGAAATATGATATCTTATAAATCTCGTATGTAAATTCAATTTATACATATGTATGTATATATGAGAGTGACGTTATATGACTAAAGTGGAACTTGATTTTTTCCTTTCTTACAAAATCGCAAAACTCTTCATGAAACATGTTTTGTTGTGATTTGGGTTGATTCTAGTTTTAGAGTTTGTTGAATTAATAAACTTGTTTCAATTTACTTTTACAACCCAAAGTGTGAAACTTTACGTGACATGGCGTGATGTGAAAAAAATTTCCTATTAGAAACATGTAAGCAACTATTTTAAAAATTTTCTTTTTGTCTTAATTTATCAAAAATTTTATGTCGAATATACTTTATTATTTGACCTCAGCGTTAATTCAGCGTAAATTTATGACTAACTATGTTTCAAAAATAGGTTTTTTTTTTTTCAAAATATCTCCACACTTAGCGAGATAATTTTCCGAAAATATTTCTGCCTACATAAGCAGTATATATTGTGAAAAGCACGTAACAAGCAGGACAAATAAAATAAAAATCGAAATTTTATATTATCATTTCGTTGTTTTTGAGGTTCCGAAGACCCCGGGATTTGCTTGCATTAATCCCGGGATAAAAAAAAAAACAAATGAAAACACTGAATTGATAGCAAGAACTTGTTTTAAGGAAAAGTTAGATAATTTTTTAAATCAATCTTCTCAAACTTCCTCAATTCGAAAAACTTATAATTTATCCGACGTGCTGGTAAAAGAAGTTCAAATATTTAGTAATCGCGGAGATAGGGATAATTATCTTCAAATGGACGCAATAATAAAAACACAGGCACAAAAAACATATGTTTGTGTGTTTTTAACAAGACCCACCTACCATCGTGTATGTATTGTAAAAATATGTAAATATATCCCGAAATCCCGGGATCACAATTTTTCGTATATTTTGCCATCCCTAATACTTATGCTAAATAGTATTTTCTTAGAAATGTAAATTGGTATGTGTATGTATGCATATATGCATATATACTATACTATATATACATATGTACATATGTATATATGATCCGGCTATTCTCACCCGCTCCAAAGACAACTACCATACATATGCCTACGTACCCCATAGGTAACTCAACCAACTATTATGCACTATAAGTTCACTTTTTTCAACTAGGGGTGACTACGCCTCCACTACTTTACGTTGCTTTCTGTCTAATTCTTTTCAGCAAGTCTAGTTTCTTTTCAGCTAACTACAAACCGGTTCTTAATAAGTTCACTTGTGGTGTGCCAATTAATAGAATGTTTTTGGTACTCTCGGTTTTTATACTTATTTTAGGTTAACTATTACCTGCAAGATAACTATTTTTTTAGCATGTATTAAGACCTCTAAAGATGTGCTATTAATATATATACATATGGGTAAGGCTTCCTCAAGTGGGCTCCGAATTTACCAAGATTAATATTTTTTAATGATATTCAGGCAGCGCCGAGTTTTGTAGTCGAAAAGTACACTGTAAATTGTGTTGCAAAATTCCAAATAGTTTTTTTAATCAACAATTGAACATTTTTGCAGTGATTTGGAAATTTTTATTTTTCTTTCAAAGTGTCCGAATGAAAAATTTTTTTGGGTGCAGATCTAAAAAAACTTAAACTATACAATCAAATTGTTTGCGTTACAAAATTTTTTTTTTTTTGCTTTTCAATCATTTTTATATGAAAAGAAAATTAAAAAATTTGAAAAACTGCAAAAATTTTCAATTATTGATTAAAAAAAAAAACTTTGGAATTTCGCAACAAAATTTATACAGTGTACTTTTCGACTACAAAACTCGGCGCTGAGTGAATATCATTGAAATCGCGTTGATTTTTGATAGTTTTTGTGGATTGTGTTATAATTTTCTTCCATACAAAAAAAAATTGTCGAACATACTTTGTATAGAAGAAATGCATGACACCGTCAAGAAAAGAATGATCAAGAATCACGGTGTTTTCTTAGCCACTTGAAACTTGCACTTTCTTAATCTAGAACTTAATGGGCCTTATGTATAAAAACTAAGCAATTGCTTTTTTCTTAAAATTTCCTATTTAAAAATCGCAAGTCGTTTTTTTTTAACCAATCCACTGTATAGGTACATACATGAAATGTAACATTTTAATAAGCCTGTTTCAGGTTCTTTAATGGCGATTTCGTTTCTACAAAAAATGTTGCCTTCTCATCGCCCTCTTCTTAGTGTTGGTGCGTAGAGGGCAAGAAGAAGGTTGCATTTTTCGGTAGTAACGAAATCGGCATAAGATTTGCAGGATTTACAGAAAAAGCTGTTTTCGCCACTAATAAACCTTATGTAAGGTGTCGTACGGGAACAGCTTCCTGAAAAGTCCTGTAAATTCCTACAAATCGCGAAGTACCTAGAACAGGCTTAACATACCTACTAACATACTTATTTATGTGTATGCAAGTATAACTTACGATTTTTTCACCTTCCGAGTAAAGTGTATATGTATTTGCCAATAGTGACAGTTGGCTACTGAAATTTACATTATCGAATGTAGTCTAGAAAACAAATTTGCTATACTATATACTCGTATGTATATACTAACTAGGAAGTTTTATAATGCAGTTGAATAATCTTTTCTGAGAATGGTTTGAGCGTGGACACAGATAAAGCATAGAAAATATTAATCTCTAACATGGTGATTAATATAACAATACAGTAAGGTGAGGCTTCGGAAGGGCTTAATGCATACAAAAGTACCTGTGCACATACATACATACATACATACGTGTTTATAAATCAGAGACGCACACGTTTATTTGATATAAAGAACATATGCACATACATACATATATACAGAGGTAATTAAAAATGTTAATATAGCAGCATAAAGCGTTTCCAAGTCAAATGACGCTATATTGACAATTTTAATTAAGATCGCATTCAACAAAGCCAAAATATACTCAGCGCAACAAAAGTGCGCCCAGGGTAACTAGAATGCATTCAGCGTAACAAGAGTGCACGAACCGTATACACTCTAAAAAATCTGTTTAAAAATGAGACTATAAATCGAGTAAATTTTTGTTTATTTTTTAAATTTTTTGGGTAAATTTACACGATGAATATGTACTTTTCTCGTTTACACATTTTCCTGAGTAAAAATCCTTTTTGTAAGGGGCTTTACACAATTCTACGGGTAAAATCAAACAGCAGATGTGTATTTTGTAGCTTGTACACACTTTCGTAATAAATTTACGCACACCACAGCAGCTATATTACACTCTAAAAAGTCCGAAATTTAAACAAACTATTCGTTGAATAATCGAGCATGTAATATCGCGAATAATAAGGTAGGAAATCAGTTACCTACTTTTTAGCTAGGAAATCTACACAATTTTTTTTAGAGTGTATGTACAAATTTGACACCCAGTTGATCGTCGCGGTATGAATCTTTATTTCGTACCGTTATGTTACCTGTTTTCTTGTTCGCAATGGATTGGCATCTTTACGTTTAAATTTTAAATAAAATCGTGCTCTGATAATCTGAACGGAATATGGCCTTACCTAGGTAATTTCAGCAGGATAACGAACATGAACGAAAGATTCAAGATCACGCCTTAAGGAAAGAAAGAAAAAAGTTATTTTCTAGCTGTTGAAATCTCGACGCCATCTTTGTTGTAAGAAGTAAACAACGAAGAGAACAAAAAAAAACGTGTAATTGTTGAACGCATGAATAATCATTTTTATTATGCAAATTCTCCTATAAATCATGTCGTTGTGTTAAATTATTCTTTACCTTATGTGTGCACACGTTGTCACAAGCGAAAATTAAGAAAATTGCAGTAAAAAGCCACCACCAAATTGTAAACAACGAACAAATGTAAACAAACGGCTTATGTCAAAATCGCCCTACTTTTTTCATAAGTGCGATTATAACGGGCCACTCTTCTGCTGTCGTGATCTTGTCTTTTTGGTTCATGGATAACGAACCGAAACATACTTCGGCCCTGGCTAAAGGGCACACACACAAAGACACAAGTGTTGTCTGGGTCGTTCCGCCCGACTGTCTTATAGACTAGCCAAGAAAGTACTAAGCGCCAGTTTTCCGTGTGCCGCTAAATCTGAGTGTGGTTTAAACTTAGTTTAATACGCATCTACGTAGATTTTATTTCTTTTGTAATATTACACAAATGTAAGGAAATAAAATACATGCGCCATGCGAGAGCTTTACAAACTTCCTCTTTAATATGGAAGTTTTAATTTATAAATACAATATCCCTTTTAATTAACAAAGAAAATAAAATAAAATAATAAATTTAACACAATCAGTAAATAATTTAAACCAATTTGTACAAATGTGCTCATGCAATCACATAAGTGGTTTTACAACAAATATAATTTGGCAAAACGGTTGCCTTCATTTTTGTAAACCGAGCGCTTACGATTTGTTTACAGTTGACTCTAGATACATCGAACAACATGTCTACAACTTCAAAAAATTTAATTATTTTGCATTCTTGATAATTGAAAAGCTCTGAAGCATGTATAAGTGAGTGTATACCTACATACCTATTCTGCGTTGGTAACACAAATTCTGTTTACTATCATGAAAAGCGTTAAACGCAAAATCGTACATTAACAGGCCTATTCTGCGTTGATAATTTTTTTTTACCGAAAAATAAAGTTCCTCTCTTTTTTTTAACCCCTTTCTCATTCTGCGAACTCTTGTAACCGGTAAAATGTGTTTCCATCTAATAAGCAGGTAACAAAATATTACCCCTTGAAATATGCAACAACAGAATTTCTACAAAACTTCATAGCTGAAATGCCAAATAAATTAAAACGTCACCCAGGTACCTACAATTGCGGTTACAAGAAGTGGTAACAATGTTTGGTAACAAAATTAGCTGGTGACAAAATATTCGGTAACAAGCAGAATAGAGCTACAACAAGTTCATGTTGTAAGCGTACATATACCCTGCAGAAAAAAATTATCAATTGATAAAAAATAACCCACTTGTAGTTAGCTTTTTTACGGGATTTCTATAAAATATATAACTTGTGGTTAGCTACAAAAAGCTAACTTAGAACTAGTTGACAAGTAATGCAGGAGCAATGAAGGAGATTGTTTCCTCGAAACGCATTTCTATTTAAATATCCTGCACTTCGCAAATACTTTTTCGAATTGAGGACAAATAAAAGGAAGATCGAAATTTAATATTATCATTTTGAAGTTATGTCTGACGGAGTTCGAATATAGAAAAAAAAACAGCAGAATATAGAAAAAAATGAAATGTAATAAAATAAAATAAAAAAATTAAAAAAAATATACTTTGTTCCTTCTATTGATATTTTATGTCCAAACGTAGTTACTTACAAATTAGTTACATCAAATGCAGAGGTAACCACCCTTGACTACATCTAATGCAGAGGTAAAACACCGTTGACTACAACTAATGCAGAGGTAAACCACCCTTGACTATTTCGCGGCCATGGCCATAGAAATATAGTTAGCTTACGTCAAAGAAAATTTACAGATAATAAGTGAATTTTAGCTCCTTCCTAATCAATTTAAAGTTAGCTTATAGTTAGATACATTTCCTGCAGGGTATATGTACGTATGTATGCGCGTAAATATGTCAGGACGTGGCATTTCGCAGGAATTTTAGAACCTGTCAAGATAAATATGGGCGGCGGACGTGGGAAAGGCGGAGAACACTTATGTTTCACATTTATTTGTTTGTTTTTTGCACGAATATGAACAAAAAACTGTGAAATATTTATTCTTGCTTACAGCTGTCAAACTATCGATAGTCCAGTCCATTGATGTTTTACGATTGTCTTAAGGGTGACTATCGATAGTATCGACCCATTTCATATGTTTTTCTAAATCCATTTATTTTTCGTTATCTTGCTTTTATAAATTTGTTTATATTAGCGGCTCACGGTTGCATTTTAGTATCGAGAAATATTGCTAGAAATTCATTCACCGTGTAAACAGTCAAAAAGGCGTTTTCAGAAATTTTCCCTGCAATTCGCCTTTCGGAATAAAAAAAACTTTCTTTCGAGAAACACTTTATATGCAGGGTGTCACTGCTCATGAAACTGCTTTCTCAATTTGACAGTCTTTTGAAATATACTGCATTGCCACGTCTGACACGCTCTTAAGACGACAATGTAACCTCTGCCATTTCCACGTTTAAAATAAAAAATGGCGCTTTTAGAAATAATGCCATGAACCAACTAACAAATCCCCCAGCATGGCAACCGTGTATTTGTAATTGCCTTTTTGTATTTAACACCTGTATTTATTTACTTTCTAAATTAAAATGCATTTTCCCAACCGCTTGTGCAAAATAGCCACCGAAACTCGCTTTGCATTCGCCAGTAACACCACCTTGTATAAATTCGCCTTGTCTGCCGCGGACAGAGTCAAATCCAAGGCGAATTTATACTAGGTGGTGTTGATGGCGAATTTAGATTTTCGCCGCGGTACTTAATGTCAAAATCAAGGCGAATTCATACAATGTGGTGTTGTCCAATCAGCTGATTTCTTCTTCTTTCCTTCGCCTTACATGTATTTTGTGTTTTCTTTTACTGATTTGACAGCATGCCCCTGAACAGCAACAACTTTGCCCCTGAATAACAAACTTTGAGGCGAATTGAGATTTGACATTTTGCACATGATACAAAATACATGAGGTTGTTGTTTGTTGTATTCTTGCTACTACCTTGTATACATTCGCCTTGGTCACAATCAATTTCCCTACATTTAAGGCGAATTTATACAAGGTGGTGTTGCTGGCGAATTTAGATTTTCGCCGAGGTACGTCTTAATGTCAAAATTATGTGTTTGTTGTAAAATGAACTCGCCTTGTTTACAACAAGCACATCATTTTGACATTCAGTAGTACCGCGGCGAAAAATTAATTCGCCATCAACACCACCTTGTATAAATTCGCCTTGCCTACATTTGTTTAAAACTACAAAAGAAAGAAAATCTACGCAAATGCCGAAGGCGAATAAACGGAATGAGCCGCGGCCATCTTTTTTGTTTTTTCATTTCTTTATTTCTATCATCGATCACTCTTTCTTCGACGTTCTTTGTCGCCGAGAAATCAAATTTGCGGCGAATTCATTTACGAAACTTGATGTCAAAACGGACGCGNAGAAAATCTACGCAAATGCCGAAGGCGAATAAACGGAATGAGCCGCGGCCATCTTTTTTGTTTTTTCATTTCTTTATTTCTATCATCGATCACTCTTTCTTCGACGTTCTTTGTCGCCGAGAAATCAAATTTGCGGCGAATTCATTTACGAAACTTGATGTCAAAACGG